ACCTCAGTTTTGCTATTCGTCTTCTTGCCTCTTATATTCTTCTTTTTTTTTTCTATATTTCCCGAAGTTTCTTTCTTCTTCTTCTTCTTCTTCTTATTTCTTCTTCTTCTTCTTCTTTTTATTTCTTCTTCTTCTTCTTCTTCTTCTTCCTCTTCTTCTTCTTCTTTTATTTCTTCTTCTTCTTCTTCTTCCTCTTCTTCTTCTTCTTCTTTTTATTTCTTCTTCTTCTTCTTCTTCTACCTCTTCTTCTTCTTCTTTTTATTTCTTCTTCTTCTTCTTCTTTTTATTTCTTCTTCTACTTCTACTTCTTCTACTTCTTCCTCTTCTTCTTCTTCTTTTTATTTCTTCTTCTTCTTCTACTTCTACCTCTTCTTCTTCTTCTTCTTCTTCTTCTACTACTACTTCTTCTACTTCTTCCTCTTCTTCTTCTTCTTCTTATTTCTTCTTCTTCTTCTTCTACTTCTTCCTCTTCTTCTTCTTCTTCTTATTTCTTCTTCTTATTTCTTCGATTTCTTCTTCTTCTTCTTATTTCTTCGATTTCTTCTTCTTCTTTTTATTTCTTCTTCTTCTTCTTATTTCTTCGATTTCTTCTTCTTCTGTCTTTTTCATTAAGGTCTTATTATTATTCAGTCTTTCTCCACTAAATCTACTTAATCTTTCATTATTTCTCCGTTTTTATTTCTTTTTCGTCCACTTTTGTCACATTTTCTTCTCATTTACCGAATCTTCTTACTTTCCATAGTTACTCTTATTTCTTCATTATTCTTTGCATTCTTATTTCTTCGATTTCTTCTTCTTCTTCTTCTTCTTCATCATCATCATCATCATCATTAAGGTTTCATCCTTATTCCCACTTCTTCCAATATTTGAACTCCTTTTTATTCATGATTTTACTCATGAATGATTTTATTTTTATTCAATCTTATTCTTCTACTCTTTTGTCTACTTCTATTTCTTCGTCTCTTCTCTCTAATCTTTTTCTTTTCTCTTCTACTGTTGACTTTATTCCTTTTCCCCTTCTCAATTCCTAAGCAGCTTCTTTCGTTTGCTCTTTTTCAAAATTCTTCATTTTTATCTTTTCTGGGGCGTTTTTTTTTTCCTGATCTTTTTTTTATCCTACCTCATTACTATTTTTATTTTCTTACCCTTCTCTGTTTTTCTTTCTTTCTTTCTATCGCGTCTTTTGCCTTCTTTACCTTTTTCAAGGCTACAATCCCAGCACCCTCCCAATAACCCAATCCTTTCCAGTAATCACCTTCCTGTACACCTGCAGTGAAACCCACAAATGCTGTTGTGTAACTTTGAAATGCCTCCCACCTCGCTGAATTAACATGACAGTGAATATACATGAGATCTTTGCATGGTTAATGATAGGTTACGTATTGAAATCTCTAACACTTCCGACGAAAATAACGGGTCTTTAGTCACGCATTCTGATGACAACGTTGACTGCGTGTTGTCTCTGATGACAGAAGAAAAAGGAATAGAAAAGGCTGTCGGGTCCTGAAGAAGCTATCATGGCCCTTCCATCAGCAATTCCAACTACTTGTCTTCATTACGATTAAACCAAATAATTGCATACCATAGCAAGGATCATTCCGGAGTTAAAAAGTTGGAGAAAACACATTTGTGGAAATCATTAAAATCCAGGGAAAGTGGCTTCCTTGCCGTTCTGCCACTGATCTAACCCATTTGTCTTCGTTTTAATTAAAACCAATTTATCCCCCAGAATGATCACACAGCGATGGCTGATCATTCGTAAAAATAACCAGTTTCTGTGCCTCAAGGACGCCTTGAAAGTTTAAATCTTACTCTGGAATAGTAGAGAAGAAGGACTTATTCTGGGCAGTTAATAATGGAAAAGGCAGCTGATCATTCGGAAGGGTATAATTATGTCACGACGAATAGCTTAATAGAATAATTAAGCCTAGTATTCTAAGATGACCTCTGTTCCTAAGTTGTATGTTTCATGGTGCAAACTGGACAATCCAGCCGGGCTGACCTTGTCCTTGCGATGGAAGATAGTTTAGTGGGGCCGGATAAAGAAACTATTCTGACCAAATGATAGCCTAAGTATCGTTTCCACTCGCAAAGCTTCACTTTTAATAAGATATCTTCGTCCAGACAGCGTTCGTTTTAAAGGATTTTATTTTAGTGTGAATTTTCCAGCCGTTCGAAATGGAAGGTTTCAAGGCTTTTAAGAAATGTATTAAATGGCTTGGGCTAAGACGTTCATGTAATCATAGATAGAGTTGAGTTTGGTGAATGGGTGACCTGTCAAGCAGTGTCGGACCTATATTTTGGGTGTTCTAAATTGTGAACACATATGGGGCGAGTTCGCAACCAGCAACAATAGATTCGTGGTTTAATTTCCAAATTATAAGATATGTATAGATTCTGGCGAGCCCATATAACTGGTGGTCTGGGAGCCACAAGACCCTCCAAGAAAACGTTGACATTTGATCAATTACAGATGTATTTTGAGGCTATATGAAATTTTTATTAGAGCATCTTCTAACACCAACATTATTACTTCAACCCGTCAGCTTATTATACGATCACTAAAACGGTTCTATTTCAATAACAAATGCTTTAAAGAAAAACGATTTTTTTAAACTCTCTCATTAAAAATGTTCCTTCAGATATCCCTCTGGGATAAGGGTTACTGAATCTAAATCTTCATCAGTTCCGTAGTAGACCGCAGACTAATGGTAAACTTTTTAGGGTTCATTGAATACGAAAATCTATATAATCAAACATTATTAATAAAGTATTAATTTGATTCCGAGATAAATATTGGTCGTTTATTTTTCAATCGCTATTTACTTCATTAACGGCTTATCGCTATTTTCTTCATTCGTCGCTTATAATATGGGCACGTGGCCGAGTGGTTAAGACGTTCGCATTCTGAGCATCAGACCCGGGTTCGAATCTCATCATGAAGTAAACTTCCTGATATTATGGGACTGGAGGAGTCAATCTCAGCGTGCGGTACCTTTGGAAAACGCCTGAAAACCTAAGCCTTGTGAGAGAAAACCTAACCTAAGCCTTGTGAGAGAAATTGGACAGACATAACGCTTGGGGGCCGTCGATAACTGTGCTAGCACGAAGTCACAAGTCATCGTGGCCGAGGGTTTGAGTGTGTTAGTCTTGTTCAAATTGTCGATCACGCTAGATAACAGACTCTTTCCCAGAAACTGTAATTAATGTCTGCTCACCATAGTTGCAATATAAACCACAGGTGGGCTCTGTGTGTGTGTTGAATAAACACGAATACCCTTATGAATTGGCTAGCCGCCATAGTAGACGGATATCCTCGAATACAAATGGCCAGCTATACTATATTAGGGTGACACATTATTTCCGTTTCTACTTATGAAATTTATTTAGAATTTTTTCAATTATATACACACCATTTTCTAAACCCTTCTCATACACATACATAAATACATCTATTTTACACGGAAAATTTAAGAATACCAGAACACAAAATACTTCACTAGGCTAATATTCCGAATGTAACAGTAAAATTGTTCAAACGTGTAACAGCATAATTACACATAATGTTCAATATCTAAAAAAATTAAACTAATTAACTTTATTTTTCCATGTTTTCAGATAAGACGTTTAGTCATCTTGACACCATTTGTCGTAAGAATCATTGTAATCATTGATTTGTTCAGCAAGAATGCGAACAGGTTAAAATCGTTTTGTGTCAGACCCAATGTCTTCCCAAATGAGAAATGATAGGAAAAAGATTATTCAGTTCTTCAACATTACGTTTCTTCCATAGATCTACGATTTTGATGTAAATTATGAAGATTTATCCTCGTTTATCCATTAAACATTGTCGTATCTAACACTTTTTCATTTCCTGTATCAAAAGAGTATTTCTCCTTTCCACTTTTTCCTCTATATTTAATATTTTGCTACTGCTTCTTCTGAGGTTACAATGTCAACAAGAGTTTTTTTCTGTAATTGTTAAGAAGGTTCTGGCAGCAGTTTTTTTACTATATATATATATATATATATATATATATATATATATATATATATATATATATAAAAAAAAAAAAATATTAAAAATTAAAATCTTCAGACACACTGGGTCTATGATTAATATTCTTTCGTTTTTTTTTTTTTTTTTTTTTTTTTTATTATTTCATTTAGATTCCTCGACTAGTTTCGTCCAAAATAGCCATTATCAGGAGAAGAAATATTTCTGCTTGCTGGTAGCAGTAAACTACAGAAATGAATGTCTTGGTGAAGAAAATGAACTTTTGTCTGTAGTTTTCATGTTTTTTTTTTTAATTTTTTTATCTTTTAACATGAATCTTTTAACATTCCTTGTGTTGGTCAAACAGTCTCTTTTAAGTTGTTATTTGAGATAAGAGCTGGGTGAATCTATGTTTCTCTGAATTCCCCTGGTCAGTTTGATAGTTTTATTGGTCCTGGAGAGGGGATGTGTCGCTGTTAAGTGTTTGTGTGTGTGTGTGTTATTTGGTTCTTAGGGAGTGAGTGAGTATGATATGTGTAAGCGTGTGTATTTCTGTGGGTGTGTGTTTTCATTTGGCTCGTTAGGGAGTGAGTGAGTACGATGTGTGTAAGTGTGTATATTCGTGTGGGTGTGTGTATAAGTGTGAGGCCTCAACACCTCCGTATGCATGACTGTCTTGTGTGGGGGAGAAATGTGGGTACGTTTTGATTTGTAGGGTTATATATTAGTACTATCTATATTGTTAAATTTATGGTTTAGCCCGGCTGGATAGTGTGTTTTTAGACATTGTAACCACTTATTTTTATGGAACTCTAAAATCTTTCTAATGTTATCCGCTCTGAACTTTTCTATTCTCTCAATTATAGTGAATTTGGCATGGGTTTTGAAATCATGTTTTTCCAGGCGGAAATGTTGTTCTACAGGTAATAATTTTTCATGGGGAATCGACTTAATTCGATTGCGATAATTATTAATTCTGTAGTGAAAGGGCCATTCAGATTTTCCTACATATTGTTTCTGGCATAGTGTGCATTCTAGGAGGTAAATTATGTTATGACTTCTACAGTTAGAACCGTTGTAGATTTTGAAAGTAGATTTAGTGACTGAACAAGTGAACGAATTCGTGTGTTTAATATGGTTTCAACATAAACTTCATTTGTTGTTACACGGTTGGGAAACTCCTGTTGTTTTTGTTCTTAGTTTATTACGGATTACCTTGTCCCCTGAAATGTGGTTACTACCTATGATTTCTTTTAGGTTCTTAGGTCTACGATATGCTAGAAGGCCGGGTTCCTTAAACAATTTTTTTAGGTCTGGTTTGAGATGTAGTATTTCCCAGCGATGTTTGATTATTTGGGATAGTGGAGGCAGAGTAGGGTTGAAAGTGGTTACTAGAGGAATGCGGCTAGATTTATTTTTAATCTTGTACATTAGGGTGTTTTCTCTAGATGTGGAAATTGCTTTATTTATTTGTTCCCTGATTAGGTGTTGTTTATAGACACGTGTTGTGAATTGATGCTCCAGATTTTCAATGTGTTTATTTAATTCTTCATTGTTGAAACATATTCTTCTGAGTCTAAGTGCTTCTGAATAGGGAAGGTTCTCTTTGAGGTGTTTAGGGTGGGAAGACTTAAAGTGTAGATAGTTGTGGGTGTCGGTGATTTTAGTGTGTAGTGTCGTTTGTAGTTTCTTGTTTTCATCTATGTAAATGCGGGTGTCTAAAATGTTACTGATGTTGTGGATTTTTCATAGTCAAATTTAATTGAGTCGTGCACTGTGTTTAGGGACATAAGGAATTGGGTAAGTTTGTCATCACTACCCGTGTATACAAAGAATATATCATCGATATATCTTGCATAGAATACGCAGTCGCTACCAATGATGGGATAGATATGGGTCTCCTCAAATTTTCCCATGAATATTGTAGCATATGATGAAGCTGCAATGGTGCCCATGGCACAAACTCTTATTTGAAGGTAGTGTGCTACATTGAAGTTAAAAGTATTTAATGTAAGGATATGCTCCATGAGTTTTATGATAACTTCTGGGGGAGGGGGGGCTTGTTTTCTTCTTTTAGTAAGTGCTTCCTGAAGGGCGGTTAGCCCTTCGATATATTTTATATATATATATATATATATATATATATATATATATATATATATTAAATAAAAACCTTGTGTATTACGTGAAATAATACCCTGTCATACATACCCTGCATACATATATATGTTTACTT